AATGTAGGTAACTAAAAATAAACATGGCACAAACTGTCAACCGGCTTTAATCAATATTTTGCCATTGCTCACCCTCGCTGGCATTAACAATAACAAGTTCAGGTGAGCACGATAACTAATTAGAAAGTTTTTTCCATCCAATAAGGTAAAAATCGAAAAGCCGAACATTGCAGAAACAAAAACAGGCAAAGATTGTTGAGTGAAATGTTGGCCAACTCACTTGACCATAAGGTGGGTATCTCTTTCCCTGTCCTTTCTCCATCTATCCCCATCTTTCTTACACCCGGCTTAAACCCATTGAGGCGTTACAAATCATCAACTGCAACTGATCGTTTACCATTTTGACATATCGATGCATGCACACGCGTACTTTTTACATATATCCCCATATGCAATAACAAACCGAACAAACCTCTTTTGCAGTTTGTAACTTGGCGCCCTTTCTCTTTTCGTAAGATATATACTGCGATCATATGTATGTATGTATGTACAACAATGATTGTTCCCCTTGATTCTTCACTGGCACGCAACATCGATCAATGATAAGACAGTTTGAGTTATGAATTGAATTTATTATTCGGTTTTCAGCGGGTGGGCAGACTCCAAAGATCGCAGAGAGGCGGGGCTGCTATTTTGTGGGGCGTATAGATTGATTGCCTAAATAATAATTGAATGAGAAATTATTGGCAGTCTTTCGGCAGAGAGAACAGCGAGATCCATTTCAGATAGGCCCTCTTTATCTGTATACTACATATGTACAATTTCAATTATTTAAGTGGAGTCTTTATATTTTTTATTTCTTTTTGAAAGACGAATAATACTGTTTCATCAATTAATTTTATAGTGCCGCGGTCTACAGATGTTATTTGGCAAATCAGCTTTGGAATTTTTTTGGATCCTAGAGAATCTTTTATTTCTTAAAAATGTTTAGATATGTATTTTTTACTTTGAGTAAACAATTATTACTTGCAGGAAAATTTCTGTCATTTTAAATAAACATTCTAAATTCAAGCCAAACAAAAAGTTTTCGTTAGATTTATTTTAAAGTGTTGTATCCTGTAAATAATCCAAAACTTTTTATAAAACAATCAAGCCCTTGAAAATTTAAAACACCCACAAAGTTTTCACCGAGCACACACACCATCATTTCTCTTTTCTCCACAATTTGGCTACAAAATCCAATCAAGCAATAAACAAATGGAAACCCATTAACCAAAAAAAGAGCAAATAGCAAGAATAACAAATTGCAAGCTGTAGTTGGAGTAATTTTTTATGGGCGTGCGCATTTTTTCACTCCTTCGTGTGTGTGGCTCGGTATGACTTGCATTTGTATTTATAGTGTGGAAGTGTGCGCGCTCTAGATCCAAGTCAGCGATTCCGAGCCACAACAAAAAAATACCAAAAATCAAATAAAGACCGACACATGTGGCCAAATGCAAATGCGCATTTTGTGGCATTCCAAGCTCAGCTGGTCGAGTTGATCCGAACTGGTGGCTTTGCGGGTTTTCAACCCCAGACAAACAAGAGACATGCATGGAAATGCCTAATGCCGTCCAAATTCCGAAAGCAACCAAAGCCTTTACCAATTATTTTATTCAATATAATATCAACAAAAATCTTGGCATTGCAAAAAGCTGGAAGTGTACATTTTCATTATATTATGATTCTAATAAACTTTTACATTTATATAAAATTTAACATATCAGAAAACCAAATTACTACAAAAATTCTGGTTTTTATGATTAAAAATTTATTTTAATAAAAAGTCTTGAGATGAGACGTTTTTAGAATCAAGTTAAGATCGATCATTTATAAGCCAGCATTGTCCACAAGTTCAAAATACAATATACCCCTACATTTTCCACTGTTACCGATTAAACAAAAACCCACACACATTAGACTCCTCGCACAAATTGGTGCGGTACGTATCTAAATCGAGTCTCAATTACACACGGCCAACAGCCCCCTTTTGCCGCCTATTTTCTACCCCCTTCCCCGGCGGTTGGTTTCTCATTAGCTGAGCGCGGGTTACGCAGCGCATTCGGCAGTGGAGCGTTGGCAACCGCCGTCTATACACTCAACCACACCCTCCCCGGTCCCCACTCTCCCCAACGGCTTTTTCACTAGCCCCCCCTCAGAACTGAACCGACTTTGCATTCGCCTGATCATTTAATGCTTAACCAAATGAGTTAAAGAGATATATATGTGGTTCCGAATGGGGTGTGCCATCACTTTGTATTTGCTCTGCACTTGGGGAAAATGTGATGGAAATTCTTTTGGGCTTTGGTTTATAGAGAATCGATTTGGAAAACATGTAACTTAAAGTTAAAGTCCAAAAGTCCCAGTAAGATCTTGAAACTTTTTTCATCTTTTCGATATTCAATCAATAATTTCTAATCATTTCCAAGCTTGGGTGAAATTTGTAAAGATTTCGTTTTGTTATAAACTTTAGATAACAGAAAGCGAATGTAGTTTAATAAAGAAGTGACAAACTTTAAACTGTACAACAACACCAGCATTAAAATGTTTAATTTCTTGTTATAATCCTAAATTTTTTTTTTTCAGTGAGTGCATATGTTTCTGGGACTTGGGCAACATGTGGTGGTCTTTTTGTCTGGGACTCTTGAGTCGGTCTTGCAGCTGAAGAAAGCATGGAAATTATTTCAGCGATGTGAAATGGGGGCACGAGTTGTGAGCTCTCAAAATGATTGCTCTCTCAATGGGGTTAATTTCTGAACAGGGGATGGGTGGGATCATCTGTTGAATTTTTTGTAATTATCTTTAAACATGTGTGGGAATATATGAATACAGAACTTTTTATATGCCGTTTCGACTTTACTTTAGAGTGAGTAGGGTTGACGAGAAAAAAAGCTATTGTCTTTCAGTTTTATGTAGATTGTTCCTCTAATGCCTTTGCTTAAGTTATTCAAAATTTGAACAAATATCTGTTATTATTTAAATTTTATTTATTCGAATGATCAAAAATGTGTGATCTTACCAATTAAAATTCCGGGTTCCATATTCGTATTAATCCTATGTTCGCTTAATCCCAATAGCGAATCGGTTTCGTTCGATAAAAGTTAAAATCACAAGGCAAACATAAATCCAATGTATGCTTTTCAAGGTCGTATCGAATTGAAATTTAAGATCTCGTTGAATCACATGGAGCACAAGTCGCGCTATTTACTTTGATTTGATTGATACGATTCGGGGAATGGCAACTGATATCACCACATTCCCTTTTTAACCACTTTCGCACCTTTTGTTTTGTTTACCGCTTCGTTTCGTAATAATTCGCGCTAATTGCTAAACAGCAAAGGTGTGCCGTCAAGAAATTCTATAAAATTAAATAAAAATTGCCGAAAATCAGTTGACACCTATGTATCTTTGTTTTTTTTCTGGACGTTTGTGTTGATTTTCCCACAAGAAAAAAATAAATAGCATTTGCGCATGCGCAAAGGCAAAAATAAACAAAGGAAAGCGTGGAGAAGAGCGGGAGTCACGAAACTACCGTTAGCGTTTTCGTCTGCTTTTAATGAGTTTTCTTGTTTGTTTGCCTGCACATTTGTAAGTTTAACAAGCTGCGTTGTTTACCCATTTGATTGTTTTATTTATTTTTTGCCTTTTCTTTATCAATTTCTTGTAAGATACCACAATTCACACAGGTGGCGTTCTCTCGATCTCACTCTCCCTTGCTCTCTCTAAAAAACAAACACCGGTTAACGGGGAACGTTGGAAATTGCCGGAGCAGGCGGCATAAAAAGCGAAAACCAGAAATGAAACGAGTGGCAAGCGGAACAGACAACAGTTTTGTTGTTGCAACCGTGGGTAATTTGTGAGTCAAAGAATCAAGAATGTGTGTATGCGTGTGTTTGTTGAAAAAACGTTAAAAGCACCTAAAAACTCATCAGAAACCCAAGGCAAAACCTTTACTTTGGCTAACTTATTGCTACTTGCTTCACTTTTTGCTGTAATCCCTAGGAACATAATATAATTTTTGCACTTTTATTTAAACAATTTGTAGCACAATCGCACACACACATGCACAAATACACCTTGAACTTGCGTCAGCTTCTTATGCTTTTTATTATCTTTTCCGTTCGCTGGTCACTTTCTTAGCACTATTCAATTAAACGGCTTTTTTGGGCTTTAGATTAGATCACACACTTAAGCAGCAACTTTTTGACTTTTATTCGCCGCTTCTTTTGTTAATTCGGTTTTGTCGGCTAAAAACGACGGCGCGCAGTTAAAAACCAAACTACATAACGTTTTTCCGGCCCGTCTTAGCACTCCGAAGTCCAAAAGCGATCTGATTGGAAAAATTACAAAGACTCCAATATCTCTCTCCCGTTTCCCTCTCTACTACAGCCATGGACAGCTAAATAGCATGACTCAGACTAGTGCTCTGTCAGGTATGGATATATATTTTGCTGATGAGTCAAATTGTGATTGTTTGTTTAATCGTTTGATTCTTTAAGATCTAAGCTGACATAATCAAATAAGAACAACAAAGCAAAAACAAAATGAAGTAAAATAATGTGTAGCACTTTTGGATAAGCATATATATTGAAAATATTGGAGTTCTATTTGAGGCTTGTTAAAAATAAAATAAATTTGATTTTTCATAGACCATTTGTGCTATTTATCTGTCCATGACTGTAAGCGATGATCGGGTTGGAACGGGGCTGGCCAACTGGGAGAGCAAGAGGAAGAGAGCGACCAAGCGCGCCTTAAAACGTTTCAATTTCAACTGTTGCGCTCAGAGAGAAATAGAGAGCGGATGAGAGTCTATTGGAATTCAATTGAAATCGAATCGGAATTAATTCAAGGGCTGAGAACAGTGGACCAAATCCAGTTTGTTTTGTAAAAAGCTTATGAATTGGCAACAGGGGTATGTATATCTATTGCAAATTTACATATTCATATTTTCATGAAATGTTAAAAACAATCGAAGGTCAGAACTTTTTGGAAGTTTATCAACTGAGCATGCATTGTAATAAGCTTCTTTCCGCATTTTCCTCCAAAACCCTTTCAAACTTTTTCGGCTAGAGCTGTACTCGAAATCAAGCTCAAAAATTAAATTTTCCGGACAAAAAGCCAGAGCACCACTTTCCAAGCTGAGAAAATGTCCCTAAATCGCGGCTGTAGGGTTTTCCTACGGACGATTCCGCAACAGATTTTCCGGCGCGGCCAGGCGGACTACGGCAAAACGATTTGCAACCTGAAGATCAACAAGGACACCAAGGTCTTGGTGCAAGGATTTACTGGAAAGCAGGCCACTTTCCACTCGGAGGAGTCCATAAAGTATGGGACCAACATCGTGGGCGGTGTGAATCCAAAAAAGGGTGGTTCGCAGCATCTGAATAAGCCAGTTTTCAAGTCCGTTGCCGAGGCGGTTGAGAAGGTAAAACCCGATGCCACGGTTATCTTCATTCCGCCGCCATCCGCCGCCGAAGGAATTTGCTCGGCCATCGAGAGCGAAATCGGTTTGATTGTGGCCATCACCGAGGGAATTCCGCAGGTGGATATGGTGCGGATAAGTCAGATGCTGAAATGCCAGGAGAAGTCCCGCCTGTTGGGACCCAACTGCCCGGGAATCATTTCCCCCGATCAATGCAAGATCGGGATAATGCCGGGCGATATCCACAAGCGGGGAATGGTGGGCATAGTCTCGCGATCGGGAACCCTGACCTACGAATCCGTTCAGCAGACAACCCAAGTCGGTCTGGGCCAGGCTCTTTGCGTCGGTCTTGGCGGGGATCCCTTCAACGGAACCAACTTTATAGACGCCCTAAAGATCTTTCTCGCCGACAAGGAAATCAAGGGCATAGTAATGATCGGGGAGATCGGGGGCTCCGCCGAGGAGGAGGCTGCCGAGTACCTCAAGGAGCACAACACCGGATGCGAGGCTAAGCCCATCGTTGGTTTCATCGCTGGTCAGACCGCTCCGCCGGGTCGTCGAATGGGGCACGCCGGCGCCATCATTGCGGGCGGCAAGGGGGCGGCCAAGGACAAGATCGCCGCCCTCGAGAAGGTTGGCGTGCGCGTAGCCGCCAATCCCTGTCATCTGGGCACCACGCTCCGCGAGGAGATGGTCCGATTGAAAATAGTGGCCAAGTGCCCGGACGAGAAGCAGGCCCAGGGTGGCAAGAAGTAGGATTTGGAAAAGAAAGTTAATGCTCCAATAAATAACATTCAATGTTTTTAAACATATGAATATTATATTTGTTTTAAATATTTTTGAAAGGAAAGCCTAAGAATAAACACATAAATAATTGCTAATAACGAATCATGTTATATGCTCGTTGTATTGTTAAGATTGCTAAGGGATACGCGTCATAATAAAACCTCAAGAAAATATCCACGTACGCTTTAAGCTTTATTCTTTCTCTTTTTCGTATGCAGAAGTTTTGCCCGCAGTGGCATTTTATCAAGAGACCATATCAAAAAAGTTACGCTTTTTAAAGCCTATAACAAACACAAGATAAGCGAGAAATAATTTGGGCACGGTCGAGACAGAAAACCAGACTCACCCATTGTCTTCACGCGGAATTCTTCGTAGTCCATAAGCGGAGGAGTTTCGGCTCCTCGGACGGTGTCCAGAAAGTCCTCCTCGCTATAAACGGAGTCGTAGTCGCTGGGATCATGCATTATAAGGTTTGTTTATGTTTATCCAAACTTAATTAGTTCACGTTAAGGCACTCAACACTATTGCATACTCTTGGGCAGCAAGAAAAAGTCATGGGAATTTTCGCTTTCTGAAATTATGTTTTAAAAAAAGACAGGGGCGGGGTTGCTTAGATGCAATCAATGGAAAAGCTAATTGCGGAAACACTTGAGGGGCTTATGGCACCCGGAGCCATAGATAATGGAGGATCGAGAACGGAGGGCACCGACAACCACATGCGCTTCCAATTTAAACACGACTAAGGTGAGCCGAGGGTTTCTGTCGCCGTGCTGCCTTCTCAGCTAATCAAGAGCAAATACTACGAAGGCTATCAAAAACAACAAACAAATCTACAGGCTGATTAGAATATCAAGTAGTAGAACAAGTAGGAATTCTTTAGAGGAGCCTTCGGACTACAGGATACCCCTCAAACTTATCTGTTGTTCTGCAAAAGATATTTTTACAAGCTTTTAAAGAACACATTGGGAATTATAACATCATAGAGGCTTTTTACCGAAGAATATTATCAAAATGTACATTGAAATAAACAAAAAAAACTACTTTTTGTAATATAATTCCTTCAACCTATCATACCCATCTAATCTTGAAGAGTGCCGGGTATAAAAACATACGCTTTTATTTGCACTGAGAGCTCGTGCTATCTCCGCTCCCACTCTCCCTGGGCGAAAGTAATTAGAGGGGAGTTCCAGATGACTGCGAGTGCAAGCGAGACGCAAGAATACCTTATCGCTCGTGTATAACTTGGACTCAGATAGCTTACGACTGTCGTCCGCCTGGAATTCCTTCAATTAATTATTGCATTAGGAGTGATAGCTGCGCATTATAAATGTTAGGGTATAAAGTTGAAAAAAAAGTTAACTTGAACTTTAACGAAAAACAACTTGGCGAAAGGTAATCGATTAAGATTTGAATTATATTTAATCTGTACTTACTTTGTTTTATTTCCCAGGTAACGATATGTATTCAAATATCAAAACAAAAAGTCCAGTTATATCAACACCCTTTCCCCTTAAATAAAACACACTTCATCTTTTCGTTTTTAAAACAGCACACCAAAGAAATAGCATCATTGGAATGTTAAAAATTTTATTTTAATTTCTTTTCGCTTCTTTCTGTTTTGGTTTTCTGCAATTCTAATTGTAATGCATTTACACATAGATTTGTTTTGGTTGTAGTGTGATTTTCTTCATAAAACCCGAATTTATCAATTGTATTTAATTCAAACTTCAATTATTTTTTTTGTTTGTTTGATTTTTGAAGAGCAATTTTTCTCTTGTTGCTGGAGTATTTTGCTTGCTACGTTTTTAGTAACTGATATGTTTCGTTTACTCGTTTCATTTAACTATATTTCAACTATTTTTGTGTATTTTGTTTCTGGTGGTTCTGGTTTTCAATCTTTTAAGCAACCTAAATAAAATATGTTAAACAATTATAAAACTAGGTCAACTTTGAATTAAATTTAACAAGCTTGTTTTTTTATTAAAATTTGTTTTGCATTGCAAAATTGTTTCAGCGTTTTAAGAGTTCAATGGGTCAGTTTTGGTTTTAAAGCCCTGAAACAAGTAACAATTATTTCAAATGGAATTCAATCAAAAACAACAAAATAAAACAAATATAAAATTAAATATTTTTAATAAAATTACCTTTGGTGTGTCTTTCTTAATTAGATTTTATATAATTTTCTTAACGTTATATAATTTCAACTCCTTCCTCGTCTTCATATTTGATATGTTTTGTTAATTGATATGTTGCATATATTTCGTGTTTCATAGATTTTTGTGTCTTTGTAACTTTTGCAGTTTTGTTTCTTTCTTAGCAAGAGATCTGCTGATATGTATGCGATATAAGTTTATGGCTTATAATTAGAAAATGTGTTTGTTTTGTATATAGCATTTGTATATTAAAACTTTAAAAAATATTCACAAGGAAAAAAACTTTTTTTTGTAGGTTTTTTCAATTTTTTGTAGACACTAAATAATTTAAAATTTACAGGCGATGATGTTTTAATAAAACCCAAAAAACAAAATATCACTTTGTAGATTTTATATTTAGGGTTCGGTTTATCCATTACATTTGCATCAATTATGGAATAAGTAGTTTGTCTCCTTTATTTACACGGGGCATTTCTTCACCTTCTTATCATTATCATATACATATATTTATATATATATATATATAGTTCAATGGATCTGCTCTTTATCTTTCATTTAATATTACTCTTGACTTGTTCAAGTTTCTTTCGAATTATGGTATATTTGTATTTTTAATAGACGACTATTTAGTTAAAATTATTTAATTTTGTTATATAAATAAACAATTATAGTTTACTGTTGCTGTAGTTTTCGTATAATCTATCAGCTAATTCAAGGTACTTATAACTCCATTAATTTTGTGGCATAATCTAAAGAAATTTCCTTCAACGTTGGGTTATCTTACTTTCCCATTTAGTGCTTTTAGTTACTTGTCACGCTATCTGGTCAACAATCCGTGCTCCTTTGAAAAAAGTTTGAATTAGAGAACTCTTAGACTAGGTTGTAAGATGTTTTTAGTGTTTTGAGAGACAATTTCTGGTTCTGCTCATATGATATTTCAAATCGTTTGGGTCAGTTTTATGTCCTTTGGCAATCAAAATTGTCGCTCAAAACGTGAGAATCTCATTTTGGTTACAGTTGCTTTTGTGTGTTTTTTCTTCTAAGAAATATATATATTGAAATTTGAGTAAAGTTGTGTGTATTATTTTCAAATTAAGATTAGGTTTATAGTTGTTTCTTTTGAATATATAACTTGGGTTCCCCCATTAATATTTATTTAGACACACAAATCGTTCCGTGAATTATGCAACTCAAAACCAATAGTTTTACTGCTGCACAGTAGCTCGACATCGTTTTTTAGTTCCTATGATAACGTGAGTTTAGTTTACTAATAATTTATTGTTAAATTTGAAACATTGAAGTTTTTCATTTATTGGGAACAACAATAGCTGCAGGGCTTTCGCTACATTTACTGACTAGAACTAAACAATTATTCCATAGTTTTAATATCGTATATAAATAGTAGACGGTTATCGAAAGAAAATAAGTGTACTGGGTTAGTACGAAAGAAATTGGTTGGAAGGTTCTTTACTGATAGCCTCGGTTTCGGATTTGCATACATTGTTTTTGTAGGGACTTTAGTAGTGAATACCATAAGTGACGGATCAAAGAAGCCTTGAAACACTTTACATATACATCAATAAAAATACTCAATAAATGTATACATATATATGCTTCAGAAAAAGTTCGATATATAAACATTGATATATAATCTCTTTTTATTTTAACCTTTTGTCATTTTTATATTTTGCCAAACGATCCTGCTTCCACATTTTATTTTCTAGTTCTTATGAATTTTTTCTGCAATGTTCTGAAGTTTGCGCATAGATTTTCTCAAAATAAATGTATAGATCGCGATAGAAACGCAACACATAATGAAAGTCTAAGAAAGAGCGCAGAAAGTTGGGAGAAAGCTTAAGATTTGTTTTTCGGTAGTTGGCAGCCGAGTTTTTTTTTATCGAAATTGGCTTGCTCATGCATATGAATATATTTTGTTCGCGCCTTTACTTTTTTTGTAGCTTTTTCGTGGTCTTTTGCAATTTTTTTGTTTTTGGTTTGCTTGATTTTTGTTTTTATATAAAAGTGTTTTGAAAAAGAAAATAAATCAAATTAACAATTGTTTAAAAAGGTTTTGGAAAGCAAAATTATACCCAAAAATAGAGTTTGAGAAAACATCTTTTGGCTGAAATGGACTGGGTTGTGTTTGAGTTTTGTTGGCGGACGATGAGTGTAGGAACGTGTTTATCTGTGGGTACTTCGCATTCAATAATTGTAATTATCGTAGGGCGTTCCCAAATACGAATAGAAATTAGGATTGATGGGCTGTGCGTGTGCGTAATAAAATCCAGAAGCCGGATCTGGCGCTACTCAGTCGAGGAAGCCGGTGTTGACAAGCTTCTCCAAGAAGAACTTCACATCGCCCAGCTCCGAGTCCTTGATGCCCAGCGACTTCAGCATGCCGAGATCACCGTTCTCCACCGCCATGAAAACCGAGCGCAAGTGTTCCAAGTCCGATCTGGAAAATAAGATGGGAAACCAAGGCGAATTAGCCGGTTTAATTTTCAACTCGCTCGTGATTAATGACAAAACTTAAATAAAGTTTTCTTGGCAAACGACTTAAGCCTTGGGGATGTGTAAAAAGAGGGCAGCCATCTGCAGTCTCTAAATGGTATTTAGCTTGGAATAGTTCTTTGGGTCAAAAGCGTGCTACCGTGGGATATTTTATAAATACAATACTGTTATTTGTAATAATTTTATGGTAATCAACACATTTTATTTAAGCTTTTGGCTGTAAATTTTTGTTTTCAGGGTTAATGCATAACATTTGCAGAAACATGTGAAAGGCAGAAAATATTAAAAACTGGTCATAATTTGTAAAAAAAATAGTAAAGCATATATTATCTCTTTTGAATTAAAAAAAAATTTATTAAAAATCACTAATAAGGTAAATTTTATTTTCCGAAGATTCTTTTTTTGTAACACCAAATAACAAAAATTTGTACAATTTTCTTTATTGTTTAACTCAAATACCGCTTTACCTTTTCTTTAGTTTTATAACTTTTAGCCCACAGTTAACTTAAATAATGAGAAAAACCCCACAAACGCACTCACGCACACAGAAACAACCCACATGGACACACACACAGATAACAAGTTTCAGCTTTTCTGTGGCGGGTCTCAAATTATACGCTTTGCTTAATTAATCCCTGCAGGTAACGTGCGGCTGTTGCTGCCTTTGCTATTGTTGCTTTTGTTATTGTTTTTGTGGCCGGTGTCCTGGGGTGTCCTTTGACCCCAACCCACTAAGTTTGCTCTTTTCTGTACCCACATATTTTGCTGCTTGTTGCGGCGGCTAGATAAACTTCATTATCATCAGCATAATTAGTAAAGTGAGTGGTCTCGATGCACAGAAACTATAAATTACTGTTAAATGTTTTAAATTTTAAAGAAATAAATAACAAATTTCAGACAAACCTAATTGTTATTATTAAATGTTTAGAGGATAAATAATATCTAAAAACAAAGTGTTTTTTAGAAATTTTATTTCGTTAAAAAATGGTTTTTAAAGTTTTGTTTTAAAGCTGTTGAAACTTTACAAAGGGTAACGCATTGCAACTTCGGCTTGACAAAAATTTTATAGCTTAACTGAAAGTTAAAAAACAATATAAACGTATAGAAGCTCGCCGAAATTTCTTTTCGTGCTGGTGAGATGGAAAAGCAAGAGTGCGAATACACATTAATAACATTTGTGCGTGTCTTGTGGTTCGAGTACATCCATTCAATTCCACCGCGCCTCTTCCTCCCCGAAGTTCTCGGATATAGACTTAAGCTGGGTGGAGTGACATTATGACACTTGGGCGATTAATTGCCTTGATGAAATTGTGTAAATTTCCAGCGCAGCCAGACAAACGAAACCCTCTTATATTTCATTCAGCCCCTTATTTCACTGGCTTTTTTTGTGTCTTGCTAATTTATCAACATGTGCGTGAAGGAAAATATTTTCGTGTCCTTTTGTCTGGCTCACAGTTTTGAGATCCTTGTGCCCGCCTGCATGGCCCACAGTTTTATGATTATTATTATTGCCACTCCAACTCACCTTGCAGCCCCAATTGTGTGGTAGTTTTTGTTGTACTAATTTAATGAAAATTTTTCTTTCATGTTTTGGCCTCTCTCTCTCGATGTTGATATTTGGGCATCTCCCTCGTTTGTGTTCGTGTTTAGCTTGTTGTTATTTTTGTTAATTAAAATTTTGGCTTTTGTTTATCTTGGAAATTGTAGCATGAGGCTGGTAGGAAAAGAGCCTGAAGTATAACGTAATTAAGACAGCTGGAAAAACACATGTTAGGACCTAACAAAGCGTAATCGACAGGGTAAAGGCTTAAGTCTGGTATTTTGGACCGCTTTAATTACTAGCGTTCAACTGATTCTAAAAACATTATTATTTGGCAGTAAAAATCCCAAAAAGGATGACTATTAAAAAGGATAGTCGACCCAATTACTAACAATGTACCATTTCTCATTTTTACAACTTTTGTTATTATGTTTCCAAGTTTTGCTTCAAATAAATTACTGAATAAACTCTGCTACGAACTGTCCGCTCCGGTTTTCCCATTTCATTATTAAATTCATTAGTCATAGGCAAATATTTTGTTTGCTTAGGACAAGCCAAGCAAACAATATGAAAAACACAGAAGCCATAAAGAAGCTCTGCATAAAATAAAACCGAGAAAGGGGATAGGAATATGATAAACATGAACAAGATATGCTTTTTAAAATTTTGTGACATTTTGTGTGCATGATGTTTGTGTGGTCTTCTTAAGCCCTGCAAGTAATATTTTTACAGCAGCCACAAAAATAGCAGAGCACTGAAAAGGGATTCGAACCACGAACACAGCCAGATGCAAAAGATAATTCATGGGACAAGGACAAGGACATCGGTTGGCCTCTGGACTTCCACTATATAGTTTCTTTCAAATAAAAGGATTCCCCCACAAAGGAAAAATAGCCTGGGGCTGCGCACAGTTTCTTAAAGAGCTTCCATTATTTATATAACACAGAGCAGCTTAGAACCTGGCTAAAATTATGTTTCAAGCTCGAAAAGCAGCTGACAAAAAGGGGAAATAATTTTGCTTTAGGGTTCTGTGGGGCAGCCAAGCAACTAACTCAAGCACAGAAATTGCACCCAAGGGCACTTCACTGAAAAAAATATAACATATTTTTATTACATAAATATGTAAGAAAATCTAACTTAATTTTGCATTGATATTCAAGTATTTTTCGCATACGGAAATAACAGATAAGTTCTCGAAACAGGATTGGTATTTGAAACTTGAATATTTTAGTGTCTTTCGTATACCATAATTGCAATATTTTGTTAAAAATTACAATTCCGTTTATCTTGTGGTGATTCATATTAAAATTTTATTTAGAAAAGTATAGATAGAATATATATGGATTATCCCACTTTGAATTACTATGAATTTTGTACGATGGGTAATATGTTTACTTTGTTTTTCAGTGCATAAGCCCCAAAACATTTTCGGCTGCTGTTTAGGTTTGAATAGTTTGGGAAACAGGTACTCACCTCATTAAATGAAGGGCAGCGCCAAAGTCCTCAATCGTTTGCGACTCACTCAAAGCGATGGCGACCTTCTCCACACCGCCCAGAGGTGAAAGGGCATCACGTGCCTTACTGCCGAAAAGTTTCTCCAGGTAATTGGGTCCGTGCGAGGCGATCAGGCTCTGGAGGAAGGATGCGGTCTCTTCGACCGGCGGCCGTTTGGCTGCAATTAATAAAACAAACAACATGTTTATCGGCTGCAATTATACAACGTTTTTGGTGAGAAGAATACAGCCCTGCAAAAGTAATTAATTAACTATTGAATACCTTGATTGCTATCAGCTTAATGCATTCGCAGTCATAATTTATTCCCATTTAAATTGATTTTGTTCATTAAGCCGACAAACAATTCGGAATCAATATTCCACTGCTGATTAATAAATGAAAAAACATTTCTACTTACAAGTCATTAAAACTGAATTTACCCGCCAACATATTTATTAAGGTATTAATTTATATTATTACTGTCTGACAATTTCCTAGGCATTAATATTAATAGTGAACTGGTTGCTTTTCCCCATTTCAGATTCAACCTCAAACGCACGCGTGCATATAAAATAAGTCCTTCCTCGAGAATGAATTATTTAGGGGGTGAAGCGTCCTGCGAGATTTGTTATTTTTGGTCAATGGCAAAGCTTTTAAATATTTAGAGGACAAAAAAAAACCCGTGTACTTAAAACCAAAAACAGTGAAAAACTTTTATTAGAGTTTCTCTTTGTTTGTTTTTTAGATTGTAGTTAGTTGTTCATCGTAGTTTCTCGTGGGAAATGAACTGAAATGAATGTAACGCGGATTTAAATGTAGCAAGGATATCAAAGGATTTAAATTTACTATGAGGCAACATCTGAGTTTATTGAATTATCAGTTTTGTTGCAATGTATCCGAATTCATTATTCTGACAGTGTACATTTCATGGGAAACTACAGGTTTGAGTGCTTAAATTAAAGACAGGTTTGGAATATAATTCGATGGCTTTAAAATGTTTAAACGAAAAAATCTTTATTGTAAAAGGGACAATTGTTTTTTTTTTAAGTTCTTTAAAATGCGTGAGGCTTTAGAGTATACATTTTCGGGTTTCGTTTAAATTGGATGTGTTTTTTGGATTACACCCCTTTTATATTTTTTTCTTCGAAGCACTTTCTCAGCATAAAGGAATATATATTTTTCATTTCGTTTTCGTGCTCCTGTTGAATTCGTTTTTCACCATTTATTCACATTTCTTTCCCTTTCTTCCTTTGTGTTTATTTGAGTTTTTCTTCGGCTCCGGCAAACATTTATGGGTCAGTCAGTAAGTCAGTCAGTCAGTGTTCCAGTCAGTCATTCAGTCAGTCGGCCAGGTGGTCCAACAGTCAGCTAGTCAGTCACCCAAGTCAGTCATGCAAAAAGGGCAGACTTAACGGCACTTGGCGTCGCTTTTTTAACCCACTGACTGCACTTGTTAACCCATGGGTGCACCATCCAGCTCACATATGCTGGAATTCTTAATGGCTGCAAGGACACGTATCCTGGACGGGTCTCATACTCGATGTGTGTGTGTTGATACAGTTACTGACTGTATTTGTTATGCAAATGGCGACGTTTGCAAGCCATTCCTCCTTCCATTTTTCTTTTTTTTTCGTACCCTGTAGTTATAAGGTGATTGCGTGTAGTTTGTTTAATTGTCATCAAGATTAATGTGCACAATTAGCATTAAATTAATTCGCTAATAAAAATTATTATGAAATGGAAAGCTGTTTCTGTCCGAAACTCGTTTAAAATAAAACTCACTTAATGAAATAGGTGTATTTTATTTCACTTTATTAAAATTAAGATTAACATACGAATTTCGGATGAATACATTGTTTGTTTTATTGAGTCGTCTTTAAACTCTGTTCATGATGAAAATTCTTATGAAAAAACCGATAATTTTGTATAAAAGAGGAGTTGACCCTTTGTTAAAGTTGATATTAACACTTAAATATTTAATGAAAACCTTTTACTATCATGAATTTTTATATCTGCTGGAAAAACTTTTCGAGTTCAAAAGTTCAGTAACAACTCAGACCTTTAACATTAAATTCCAGCCTGCTTTTGCACTTCCTAGAAATATTGGGTATGCTCTAATCGAAACTGCTGGGACCATTTTCTTTACATTGCCCGGGGAGTCGTCTACATGAGCTTCAGTGCCTCCATGTATTGTGTGCTTCGCTCGGGGGACTGAACCCAATTGGTGGGAGGGAAGGGAGGAGGGGGAATGGGAAATGGGGAATGGGGGTTTATGGGAGTTGGGATTGTCGCCTGTTGTTTGCCTTTAACTTGTTACATATTCCGGACGATGTATATCAGCAGTTTAGATAAAGTCTACGTGGCGATTCCTACCCAGTGTGGGTTAACATTTTTTAAACTTTCTCCACTGCCTTTGGCCAATAAAATGTATGCAAAATTATGTTAATTTCCCAAGGGTATTCGAGTGCAGCGTGTGAAAAGTTTTTCAAACGCTGTACATTGCAATTTAACTCTTTTTTCTTCAACGTTCCCTTTTTTAAAAGCCAATGAGGGTATGAAAAAGATCCTGAACAACCTTAATTTGCATGCATGAAAAACATATTATGAATGGACGAAGTTTAAAATGAATATGTTGAAGGCACATCACTGTGTAAAGTTACTTTAAAAGAAATCAATTTTAAGTTTAGTATGGCATACTTCTTAAATTAAAAAACCTTTTTGCTGCCTTTGGTATAATTGTTTATATAAAAAGCGCAATAATTTCTATCAATAAAGAAGTAGTTATTTAGGACATTGTGAAAAGATTATAAGTCCTAATAATTAAGTAAGCAGTGGCCCAAACAAAAACTCGAGCATCAGCATTCGTTTAGTCTTTCAACTGTTGCCTAGCTGCCAAACCAAGGATACTGGGAGGACAAAAGCGGAGAATGTGGCGATAATAACGAGAAACTGGGCGAATAATTTATCAAGGACCGCCGAGGTTGAAGCAATAACTTTCGCCAGCGCCAAAGCAGCCGACACTTCCTAAATGATTTCATTGTCGAAAAATAGTTTTTTTTTCCCCGACCTGAACAATGGCGGAAAACCGGCGAAAATTTATGCTATTGTGCCTGGAACAGGGAAAGAAGAAGATAAGGGAAAGGAAAATTTGGAAATGGAAAGTGGAAGTGGGCGAAATTGGGTGGGGGAGGTGTGGTGTTGGCTTGTATCTCAACTTTCAGGCAAGTGAATTGCTGGCAATTAGCAGCAACAATTTGCTGTTTGGCCTCGAGTTTCGCATTTCCCGCTTTCGGTTGCCTCAGCGGGTGGAAATCTTCCCTGCCCCCAACATGGTAAAGTTTTCCGGCCAATTTGTTCTGCCTTTTCTTTGCCTGTATGGGTAACGAATTTTATAACTTATTACGATTTTTTTGTTATATATAATTTATGTCGTAATTAGGGAAACTATAAAAACTTTAACTGTCATTACTCATCCTCCCTTTTATAGAATTTCTTATCCTTTTTTAATGTAAAGTGTCGTGAACCGAGTGTGAATTTAAATTACATGTTTAATTGCTTTTCAAATTTAGGCAATTACTTTTGTGATTGCAATTAATTTTCCCTGCCCTAGGCCAGCTACTATAAGACAATATAATTGATTGCGAAAACTAGAAAATAATTAAATTACCCAAAGTGTTAGTCCTTTCTGAGAGTTTATTTAAATTGTGAATAAATATGCTTGACTGTCGTCACCTATTACACGGTTATTTTAATTAATTTTACTTTTACAAAAATACTAATACAATTATACCACATTATTTATTTTTAAAAGCCGCTTCATAAATATTTAATACACGAAACCTTAAAAAGATTTATCGATCAACTTTTGTTCACCATTTTGACGAGGAGCTCATTTTCGTTGCACTTAAAACTTTGCGCAAAAAAGCATAGTTGACGGACAATGAAAAAGCGGAGAAAGTTCTAAGATTTTGTTGAAAAACTTGGATGCATCTTGCTCTAATTTGATTAGGTGGCAGTGAGCCCAGGAAAGTATGCTAGAATGAGACACGACCTAGACAAAGTTTTTTTTTTCCGCTTTTGGGGAAAAAATCATTTTTGACCGTGACTTATAATCGCAGTATATTTCAAGTTGGGTCTGACTCATTTCCTAAAATTTCCTGTTGAAGGTAATTTTCGCAGACCTTCCCTCTTGTGAAACTTGCACTTTCTAGCAGGAGCAGAGCAAAGCTTACCAAGGGGAATTATTGATGGCCAAACGCTGTGCATTCAATTAGAAGCCAAGCTGAAATGGCAATCACAACTCTTTGCTTGTTGGTAACATGACTTACCCGCCGTACACAGCCGCATATCCTCATCGTATCCGTCAGAGCAATCTGGTGCACCGTCGCATAAATATTGGATGGAAATGCAATTACCATCGCCGGGACACTTGAATGGCTCGTACGGATGACAGGCTTCTGCAAACGGAATTGAAAAATATGTCTGTTATTTGGCGGACTTGTTAAATATTTTAAATATAATCTATATCAATAGCTTTAATCCGGTATTTAATGGCGTTGAAAAACATTTAAGAATTTTCCAAAAAGCCAGTCTACAAATATTATGATTTTGCTTACAATCGATAAGCGGATTTGCTTGCCATAATATTCGTGTATTTATTTATTTTTTTTGTTTATTTTACGCAATGGTTTAGTTCAGATCAATGGTTATGCTGGCTTTATTTGTTTGCCCAGATTTTACGTAAATAAATTGTTGCAGAAATATATCTCTATGCAAACCACAGGTTATTTATTATCACTAATCTAGGACCATGGTAGCTTGTGTAATTATAACAACTTCTTTGCTAAGCATTTTTTAAAAATTGATGTCATGTTTTTTTGCAAAAGATTTTGCATACAGATAAACTAACTTTTTTAACTTTGGTTAATGGAAAACTAATTAATAACTATGTTAAAAACAACATTAAACAGGAAATTCAATTAAATTTACAAACAAACAATGGCTAAAACCAAATAAAAAAGACAAAAATAATAAAAAATATCACGAAAATGTTATCTGACAATTAAGCAAATTAATTTGCTTTCATGCTGTTTATTGTTTACATTTTCCCCAGCACCATTTTCACTGTTCATAAAAGGGCGTTAAGAAAGCTTTCAGTTTTATGGAGGGTGTACAAAAACGGAAAGGATAAGGGTATGATGATGGTTTCCCATCAGAGGGAAATATCAACACCCAAAAGGAGCGAACAAAAGGCGGAGCAAGTTAATTGAATTTATTGTTTCTGCTTGTGCCAAAACTCAACATATTTCATACAATTTGTTTTTACTTTTTGTGAGGCTGAATTTGCCGGCTTTTTTATATTATTTTTTCCTGCTTGCGAACGTCTCCTTTCTGGCAGAGGCAAATTGGTTTTATGAGACTGAGTAAAGTAGAAGCAAAGCATTTTTGAAAAAAACAATATTCATTTTCCGACGGCATTTTCCACGGCTGGCAAATGTAGATTAAATCCCCACCGCAAACAGAAACTTGGCTTTTCGGCTTTTATTTTATGGTTGCTACAAATACGGTAAGCATTCAAATATTAAGTCTCTTTTGGCTGAGCACAAAGTTGGATTTAATATTCTGCCACAGGAAATTATCTTGCTGCCAAACTTCTGTGCTGATACTTGACATATTTTTCTATTAAAGTTTCGCTGAAGTTTTCCTCTTTCCTGTTTTTTTTGTCTAGTTTGTATTATCCTTTTTTGTGTCTAACTTTTTGAGGAAAACTAGAAATAAGCAGAAGAGAACCGAGTTAAGTATCATTGCAGAAATATGATGAACAATTTTTTTTCACAGATTTTTTTAAAGGCCCTTATCCTGTCACCTTGGCCACTGTAAAGGTGAAAGAACCTGACTGGCATTACACATACGCCCTGTGGCACGCGCGAGACAAGTTAATTTCGTGTGATTCATTATGTTTGGGTTAATGTCAAAAAAATTGGAATTTATGTGCTCGGCACCACTAATTGACAGGCAGAGGGATCCAATATTTATGCCCTGCCCCCTGGCAATCCCTCCAAAATCAGTTCAAAGCATGTAACTCAGTGCGAAGAGTGTTTCGCTTTATTGAGCGTGTTGTGTTCAGATTGAAAAGGTCAAATGAGCCAAAGGGTTGGTCTGGCCTTTAACCGGTCTTCCCTTCTTTGGTTTCCTCCCTTGGAATATGTCCAAGCTGGCCCTTACTTTCGCACTTAAAGTTGGCTTTTATGTGGTATAAAAAGGACAACTTTTGTACTTTGTTGTGGCACTGAAAGCGTTTGTTTTCTCCTTTATTTTGTTGTCGGTTTTAGTTTATCCCGTCCACTTTCTCGTTTTATACGGCAATTGATTACCATTTGAATACTTTATTATTTTTAATGCCTTTTCGGTTTACGATTTTACGTGATTGCTTGAATGCGAATGGCTAACCAAACTTTTCGTGGAAATGCTGCTTGAATATTTTATACAATTTGAGAATGTAATAAAAAGAAGGTATGTTGTTGTTTTTGTATATAAATCTTTGAGATTTTCTTCTCTCAATCTTAGAGCTTTTTTCAAATTCCATTTTATGTTCTAAATTCAGGTGCGGCTTTTAAGCTTAAGATTGAAAGTGATTTTAATTTATTAAATGCATAAAAAGGGAACGCAAAACAGTATGCTATATTAAGGCGAAACAACTTTCTTTTCCCCTTTACTTATTGTTAGCATTATAAAGACGCTTTGCACATGTTTAAAAGCACGAGCTCATAAACTCTCGCTTACCAGACGACCACAAAATGCGGCCTGTGCAGGCTGATATTAATTTTCGAAAATCAATGAGGCGGGGCCACGACTCCTTCGTGTGCTACACACATAATGAATGTTGCAAGAGTGTCATAAATATGAAGTCAGCACGCAGAACACTGCGCCCCATGGGTTTTAGCAACTCAGACGTTGCTTCTCCAGCTCCCTACCCGAAAAAGAAGAAAAATAATAAGCGTATACAAGGCAAACCAGTGTTAAATGAAGCGTAAAGCTTCTGGCCACACACAATGTTGTTTTCGCCTGACAATGTCCAAAAAAGCCAGAAACCAGAAACTCGTACAGCATTTTGCTAAGCGCTGCACGTGACACCAGGAAATATTCGTTCACTCGGCTTTTGTTGCTGTCCCCTTATGGAATAATCTTAACTCTCCGGCACTGTGGCCATAAAAGGGTGTAATAACACTGTGCAACAAAATTGTGAGTCGTCGCTGCCGAGCTTGTTTTTTATGTGCAACTTTGAGCGAAATACGACACTTAAAGGGACAAAACGCCTTAAAATAATAATATTGTGGATGCCATAAAAAGATAGTGAAATACATTTTTTATGGCTGCAAAAATTTTAAAACCACATACGAATTAAATGTTTAAAATCAGTATTGTATACTTTGTTAAACAAAATATTTTAATGAGCTTAGACAAGTATATATTTAGTAAGAATTGAAGCTTTGTTCTGCTTATTTAATTAATTTCTAAATTCAGGCCTCAGTATTGTTACCCAGTGTTTTCCCTTAACACAGACATCCTGGCAGTTAACAGAATTTTAGTTTTCATGTGTCAATTTGCGAGCAGCAAAGGCAGCGGCATCAGGCGGTGTTGTCACGCATGGCGTATACGCAATATTACACAGTTATAGCTCTTGACTGGGGTTTGTTGTATCTGCTGCTCCTCCATAGAGTCTGTATGCTTCGTAGCTTCTTCGGCTGCCAATTGCAGTTCACCTGACCCACGCAATTGCCTGGGCGTATCTCAGTCGAGGGTTGGCTCCTGCTTATGGCCGATGGGCAATATCTGTCCAAACAAATGGGTAGTTGGTGGTCGGGGAGAGGGAAGAAACTCAAGTTTCGGCACGGCTTCGATACACTGACAGCTGCCAGCTTATAAGCGGCCAAGAAACCAAGTTAGAGTCAACTGGTAACAAGGTACAGTTATGACCAAGAGTTAACTTTAATGGGAGGAGAAACTTCCGACTGCTTGCCTTTTGCGGTGGCCTTTAATTGGGGAAGTCTGACATGGGAATCATTAAAATGGGTACTGTACTTCGGGGGGTTATTTAATCCTGGGAAAGTAAGTGAAAATGGCAAAACTGGAGTTCTTGCAATAATCTCAATAAAGAGATTCGTATCATGAACTAAGGTATGAAAGTGGATTTCGAGAGAAGTAGCAGCAAAACAATGGTCATAATAAAACAATTTTTAATAATATATTTTACTACACAAAGATGTATTAAAGGTGCAGAATTTAAGTTTCATATGAAATGGAATCTTAGCATTTAATATTTTATCCATAGTGGCAACATGTTGGGAATTCTTACTCAAGACAATACCAAACTTCCTTTACCTTTCCCTGTTCTTTAAACACAAACATTTCTAAGCCATAATTAAGCTTTGCATATGCCAACCGCAGAGTGACTAACCAAAGTTACCAACTAAGGGGAGCTCCAACCGCACTACACGACAGCGTGTGGGGAAATAAACAAAGGGAACGGCACAAAATGACGTATACGCAATATCAACTAAATAATTGCACACACCCTTGGCCAACGTCGTAGCGCACTAATGAAAATTACTTTCCTTGGCTGGTGGCTGTTGGCTGTGTTTGGTTTGTCGCTTTGTTGGCTGGTTTGGCTTGGCTGAAAACCAGCACTCTAGTGCAGTGGCAAGAACAATTGTTGGCCAAGAACAGCAGCAGAAACTAATTGTTTTGCTTATAAATTAGCACATTTGTATGCAATGGCACGCACACAGCAAACAGAACTCTGACGTAATTTATTAGTGCCACACTATGGGTATATATCCGACCGATTCCTGGCCCTCGAGGACATGCATCTCGGCGTCGCTTCGATTTTCTCGCCGCTGTTACGGTTACGGCCACGTTTACGCTTCAGGCCAACTGAGTGTGAGATATGGCCCTGGCTTGGCATTATTGTCTACGAATGTGTTCTGGCTCGAATGGCAGCTGAATGACAAATAGTTGGGATGGAAGACCGGAGCAATCGGTTGAGCAAAGAAATCGCTAAGAACAATAAACTGCAACAAATAACAGAAGAGTTGATAAAACCATAAATATAAAGAATTGTTGATTTTTGAAAAAAATATATATAAGAACTTGTATTTTCTGCTTTAAATAAATCATTTTTATCTTGTTATCAAGAGTTTAAGAAACCACTCAATATTTTTCTTATATTAAATATAAAAACATTTAACCTTGACAACACATTAAATAACTTTAAAAGATGTCAAATTTAAACGTTTTTGGCAGTTCATAAATGTAACTAAAATAATTATTTAAGTAAAATAACTCATTTCACCCACTTAACACCGAATACCTAACTATTTTAATATTTTAACATTCTTAAACCTTAAAAGCTTAGTTGCCAGAACATGTAAAAACCCTCTCTGAAATATTAATTAGC